ACTTTTTAAATAAGAGCAAAAGACCTCTTATCTCCACCTGGAGCTTTACAGTTAGAAATTAGCCAGCTAATCCCCAAACAGGGGAATGTGAGCATGGGGAAGATGGAAAGTTACCTGAGCACTCACAGGCATCCAGTGCTCTTGCTGACATCCCCGTTTGGGGAAGCAAAATTGGAAAGTGGCCAGAGGAAGAGGCAACAGTGGTGTTTGCTACAAAGCAGCACACATTTTGAGCAACAGGCATTCACCCTGGCCTCAGTCTGGGTAGTAACCACTTAGGACCATTAATCTCAAGCAACAATTTTGTGAAGGCATCAGATCCTTATGATGGGTCACAGGATCTCAACTGCCTGTTTCTCACATCAGGAGATTCCTGGCTTTACATGAGCTCTGAAACTCAGCCTCTTCCCTCTTTTCTCTGCCATTCTCTGCCGATAATCCTTGCATGGGATCACAACCCTCCCAGGGGAAGAGCCACACTCCAGAGAGAACTGACATACATGTCCCCCTTGGGTGGGGAGGTGAGCCCTCAGCCAGTGGTCCTGCTATCCCACTCTGGGAAGGAAAGAAAGCACACACTCAGCCCCATGGCCAGATGCAAAGGATACAGAAGAATTCTTCCTGCAGAAGCATTAGGTATGTCCTCAAAGAGGCTGCACATCCTGAACAACAGGTTCCCTTGTGCCTGGAGGACTGATTGCTGGGACATCCAGACTATGTGATACCATGCTCTGCAATTCTAAAAGCAGGCACTATCAGGAACATATCTCTGCAGAGGCCACAAGGCTCCAAATGAATGCAAGAGAGAAACAGGTGAGCAAAAGGATTTTCCTAGCCTTTTCCCTTTGTTCAGCAGTATTTCTTGCCAGGATCCTAGCAAAATTCCCTACTGTCCTCCCCTAATGCTATTTTCCCTTTGCAGAGCTCTTCTCTGCACTTCAACATCCCGTGATATGTAGGACTCGGACCAGCAACTCTGACCCAGTCTCTGGGAAAAAGACGACCTTGGTCTCATGCCTCCCAGTCTGGTTTGATCTCAGTAGGAGTGGAGGGAGCAGAAGAGACATAACACTTAAGCCCTACTTTGCTTTCTGGGTCACAAAGGCCTAACAGCATATATACAAGCTGCATAAGGAACCCAGGGGCTTTGCTCAGCTGACTGAATGGAGCCTGCTTGTGGGCCAGAAAGGGTGGGTTTGGTTTTGTTTGTTGGGGGTTTTTAACCCTCTTCTCCTCCTCTTTTAATATTTTTAACACGCTTGCATCTTGCCAACAAAGAGAAGATACTGCCTTGCTGCACTCACTCCTGGCTGGATCCAAAGAACTGGAGGAAGAAGGAAAAGATGTAGATGATGTCCAGATAGATATTGAGGGCTCCAAAGATGTATTCCTCTGGGCTCAGTGAGTACCGACGATTCCCCATCAGCATCTGGGTATCAAATGCCAGGAACTGTGAGGAAAGAGGAGGAAACCCAACAACAGTCACATGGAGGCAAGAAGTGCTCTAATGACAGGAGTTCTCCCAATTGCCTCACTGTACCCAGAATAAAAATGCAGCCACCTTTTACAGGCTGTAGCTGCAATTTAAGAGCTCAGAACAATGCACTGAACAAGCTGCAACTTTCCCCTTCCTTCATTTCACTCTTGATAGTCAAACCCTGAGCCTAACTATTACTCCAGGCCTGCTTCCTTCATGCTTTTCCCCCAAGGTTCTCCTTTGCTTCATCCATGCCAAACATGTCCCAAGATCAGCTCTGGAGCAGTTCTCCCTGTTCCTCCTCAGCCAGTCCCTGCCACTTTTTATTCCCAGACTTTCTCCTGTCCAGAAACACCCGCCAGGTTACAAGGTGACCTGGACCCAACATGACATTGCAGCAGCACCAGGACAAGAAAGAGCCAAAAACCCCAGATCCTGGGCAGCACCAAGGTCTGCAGAGCTGACAGCAGAGGTAGCCAGACCCAGAGGGGAGCTAACACCTTTCTGAGGTACAAACACTACTGAGTGCAGGGCAGATTTCACCTGTGAAGCCAGCACAGTGGGTACCCCTTGCCCAGCCTGCTTGAACACAGCACTCACAGGAACATGGGCTATAAGACAAGCTGGTGGCCCAGCTGCAAGAAAACCTGCACCTTGTTGCAGGACTTCAAGCTCAGAATCTTCTCCCATCTCACCTTCACTCGCTCTGTTAACCTAGCCTGCAACAGACACCTCGGCATGGAGCTCTTCTGGGTTTGCAGGGCGTCTTTGCCATCACCTGGGGTCAGCTGGCAGCTCTGCCCTCCCCAGTCATAACCAACATTATGGGTGATCCCAGACATTGAGAGGCTGAGCTGACAAGCCTGACACAATAGGTTCCACCATCTGGGTTTTTGACTGAAGTTTATGGGGTAATTATAAGATGTTTAACCTACTTATATTTTACAGAGCAGTCTTTAATCATGAATCACAGAAGAAATACCCGAGCTCCCTTGAAATGACTTTATTACAGCTAATAAATGAAATTGCTCAACTGATCTTATTCACAACATGCCCAATGGGCACCGCCTTGAACCCCAAGGCAGCCCTCCTCCTGACCCCCACCTCGAGGTAACACCAAGCATCTTCCCAGACAACTCCCACACCTGAATGGTGAGCACAGCACTGCCAGGACTTGCTCTGGGAAGAAGCTCGCAGGAGGGACTGCTGGCTAGCCAAAGGAATGAATCAAGCCTTTTCACCACCTTCCTTGGAGGAGCTGCCCAGCTTCAGGGCTTCTCCTGCCTACAACAAACCTTCCTAATGCCCCTTAATCCCAAACCATGGTCTCTAACTCTTTCTTTACTACTGTTTGTTAGCCAAACTCATACCTAATCCTTGGCCCACTCCCACCCAACCAGCCCCAACTAGACTTTGCTCAATTCTGCAGCCTCATTTCATCCCCAGGCTCCAAGCGCTGCAGTCCAGCTCTCACTGCTGTGCCAAAGCTTAATCTCTGCTTTTCCCACTCCAGAGGTGCCTTTCTGCCCTGTTCCTACAATGTTTTCTGCTGTTCACACCTAGTATTGCGCATACAGTGTGGGTTTGCCAATCACACCATGCTCTGCACCACCACTGTCACGTACACCAACACCTTCTCGGGATAAGGCTGAGGTCATTGCAATAATTGCTATTCACGAGCCATTTGAGGATGTGGAGCTCTCTGCAATCCTCCAACTCGCTCTTCTCCCTTCCCCAAGCGCCCTTCAAGGCTAAAAACATTTACCCCTTGCTTATGTGCTTATTTTTCCTGCCAGCACATTCCCAGACCCCATGACCAGCGCCCACTTACCATAGTGAAGATGATGGCACCAAGCAGAGCGTAGATCGCATGGAGCCAGGGGACCTGACGGAAAAAAACCCATCAGTCAGTGCCTGGGAGAAAACTAGTTAATTAGGACTTCACACAGAAGAGAGCTTAGCTCTCTTGTGAAGGACCCAAGTTAGGGAAAGTGCTCTAATAGCCCAGGATAGACTTACACCACTTCCAGCTCCAACACAGTTTCTGTTGTTAAACTTTTCATGGCAAAAAACAAGTCACCAAGCCTCAGTTTCCCCTCTCACTGCTGTCATCTTGTCTACTTGGCTCATAAGCTTCTAGATCAGGTAGTTGTGTTTCCAAATAGTCTACTCAACACGGCTGCCATCTCTGTGGAAATATCTTAGCACTATCCCAGTGGAAACATATTTTGCAGCAGCCCTAGGCACTTATTTACCCAGATAAGGCTGATGCCACTGGTAGAACACCAAATGCTTCCAAGAGCCAGACCCAGCTATAATTAACAAGTATAACTTAAATGTGTTAATCTGCTGGAGTCACAGGAATTAGGAGCAAACATCGAGCCCTGCTTGCTGTGGCACAGTAGCACAGAGCACTAGTGGAGAAGTTGCCTATATTCCAGAAGGTGCCCACATGGGATGGCTGATTCAACCCAGAGATCGCAGCCTGCCTCCCAGATAGACAAGCTCATTACACGGCTGCCTCAAGCTATGCTTATCTTGACAAGCTGCAAGATAAAGAGTAGTTGTCTCAACAGTTTAATGGCAGTGGTTTGGCACTGTAAGCTGGTTTACCCTCACGTTTGCACTGGGGAGATGTGGATCTCAAGCCAAGACAACCGAAATCCATGCTCCTGGTTTTGGAAACACCAGCCTGTGAATTTGTCCATCATCAGACCAAATCCAGAGCGAGTACCAGTGGGAACATCTCCTGCAGGTCTGGCCCTTAAAGTATGATTCGGGTCCCCCGAGAAGCCAGGTTAAGATGTGAAGAGTTTGGAGGTCACTTAAAGGCTGCCATCAAAGCTGGGTGCGTCCATCTCCAGCACAAGCAGGCATTCAGGGTGATTAATGGTGGCTGCACAGCCCCACACACCTTCCATCTTTCTTCAGCATCTTCCAGGGTCTGTCAGGCTCTCACCTGAATGACAACTCACGTAATGAAGTGCTCTTGGATGGACACCAGACACTGCGTGCTGCCACGCCAAACCCTCTATCAGGTATGGTCACAAGCCACTCCAAGATTTCAGCTGGGCACAGCCAACACCAGCTGGGCCAAAAGCAGGGAGGCTGAAGGAAGGGGTTAGACCCATGCTAGAGGGGCTGGCAGCAGTTGGAGGAGCGACAAGGTAGTTGCTCATGGTCAGGACTTGTTCCAAGGCCCCTCTCTAGAGGGGCTTATTTCTGAGAAACTTGAGCCTCAAAATTTAAACACTGCATGACCTGATGTTAATGTGAACACAGCCAGGTCTGACCAGACAGGTACTCCACTGAACTTGTCCATAATCCTGCCCTGAATTTTGGTCAAAAACTCTGGTTTTATATTGGGCAGGCCAGCACTTTAACGCGCTCACTGCCCTGATTTTACTGGAGGGGAAACTGAGGCACAAGCAAGTGATATGACTTGCCACGGGGTCACTACACAGCTCCAGGAACAGAATCAAACTTCCTCAAGCCCCAGGCCAGTGCTGTCCTACAACCCGTTATCTGATTGTATGACAAGAAGGCAACAGCCACCTGGTCTTGCCTTTCATTTCTGTTGGTGTTTCTGCACATTTTCAGAGAGCAGGCTGGGACACCCCTCTCAAGCCAAGCCCTGGAGCTGGCCTGCTTTAGGCCATTCAGCTCCCAGCCTTGTAGCAGGATGGTGGCACTGGGAGAGGAAGAAGGGGCACAGGTCATTACTCACGTATTGGTAGGGCAGTATCACAGCCAGGATGATGCCACCAAAGAAGAGCACCATGAGCATCACAAAGAGGACACCCTGGTAGGAGGTGAAGTCAAACTGCAGAGGTAAAGAACATCACGTTACAAGTGCAGAGTGCTGGACCTGGAGGCAGTAAGGGCAGCCAAACCACACTGTGTCCACAGAGAGGGACTCTCCCACAGCACACCCATCTTGCTGTCAGGACTCTCCCGCAGCACACCCGTCTTGCTGTCACATGGCAATTGCTTCATCTGCATCTCAGGTCCTACAGCACAACAGCTGTATGGCACACAGAGCCTCTTTATTGCCATGGGCAAGGACTCGGTACCCATCATGTACCTGAAATCCCTAAGTCCATCACACATATTTGTGCCAGCCTAATCCTCAAAAAAACCAGTTTGCCACCATACATTAGCATCTTCCATCCCCATCTGTACCCCTGACGCATCCCTCACCCCAGCATCTGTCCTAATCTTCCTCTAACCTTCACTTTACATGCCAGCATCCCTCAGGCTGCTCCTGTATCCAGAGCCCTACAAAGCTGTCCCCCACACCTCACCCCCAGAAGTCCCCAACCCAGTGTCCTACCCCTGAGAAAAGCCTCTCCCAGAGGGACTGATCAGCACAAACTCACCTTGCTCTGGAAGCTGAAGATTGTGACAGACAGACACACCAGGGCTGTGATCCCCAGACACAGGAGGACTGACTTTGTATTGTAGTAACTGCAAAATTAACAGCAAACCCACTTTTCAGCGTTTACCACAGGGACAGGTGGAAGGAGGGATTAAGACAGGCAGAAGCTTAGCAGAGGTGCACAGGGAAAGCATGAGTCCTAGGGGCACAAACAGCACAGAAGTTACAAATGTTCCTCCTTAATGTAAAATGGAAAGGACAGAAAACACTAAAAAAAGACTAGATGGGTTTTCCTCTCAATTTAAATGGAAGAGGGTAGGCAGGAGCGCATGTCTGTGCCTCCTGGGAACTCATGAGCAGCTAACGTGGGGACTTAAGATAAAAAGCTGGTCTGTCCATGGACAGATGGAGGAGGGGGAGGATTCAAACTGGGAGGTAATAAAAATAGGATGACAAACGTCATCGCAGCACAATGAGAAATCAGAAAACTGCAGCCACTGTTGCACTACTGATGTGTTCATAACAGGAGTTTGGGTCTTGGAAACTGCAGGGAAGGAGGGATTTGAACATGTGCAGAGGCTACAGGCTGAGGTTATAGTTGTCCTGTATGTCTGACTACTGACTGGCTACAGCACCAGGCTCAGCCCTAAGAAAATCCAGTCCTCACAGAGCCCTTCAGTTTGCTTTGCGAGTGCTATCGCTGGTATGTTCCCTGCGTTGCGCTTTCTTTGTCCCCAGCACGTATCCATCAACACCCACTGGCTCATCTGCTTCATCACCAGGGACCCACGTGAACCAGGGCTGATCGGGTGAGCAGATTGTAACAGTAAATACACAAGCAAAAGGGAGCAAGTGATAGACTACGAAACCCACAAAACTGCTGGAAAAAACCTCCTTGTCTCGCTCCAGCCCCATCTGCTAGAGTGCTGCTTCGTGGGAAAGGCAAGGTCACAGTACACGTAGTCCCCTACAGCCCCTTGTGCAAGCAGGGCCTCATCCCTGGCTCTGGAGATCTCCTGTAGGATTTTTATAGCCAGGAGCTACCCTGTGCTGCCTAAGATGTGACAGAGAAAGGGATGCCACCACAGGTTTTGGAGACCTGCTTTAAAAAGTGTTTTCACAAGGGAAGGTCAAGTTTTGTGTGGCAACTGGAACAGCTCCAAAAAGATCCAGTTGCCCCTGTATTTCAGAAGTAGGGAAATTTTATTTGCAGGGAGAGATAGGACATAGGACCAGAAAACCTTCAGACACCACATGCTCAACCTACCTGGAGAGCATCCCGGTGAGATAAGCCATGGAGAGGGTCTGGGAGGGTAAGAGAACCACATTACTTCTGCATTCATGTCCCAAGGAGACACACGCAACAGGTAAAACATTACAGCGATAAGAGCAGTGAAGCCTCTTCAACAGTTGGTCAAGGGAAGCAATTTTTAAGATAGTTTCTAATCCTCCAGTGACTAATATCCACAGAGCAGGTTAAAGTGAGGGCAGGCCACCATCCCGAGAGCAGACCCACCTTCTCCATCCCTCTACCCGTCTTGCACAGGACTCTGGCACCCTACCGCAGCTCCCACCACCAATCAGCCTCCACAGACTTTTTTTTTTTTATTTTAAACAGAGGCTCCCTTCTTTCCTGCTTATCACATTCTAGTTCAATTACAGCTCCACAGCCCAAGTGCAGGGCCATTAGAGGATGAAATTCCTGCTTTCTGCAGGAATCCAGACCAGACGTCTCTCCTGCTTGGAGCCATTCTGAAAGCCACACCGGTTGCAGGGGTAGGGCAGACACTGTCCAGATGTGCTACTTACAAAGATGCTCAGCAGAATCAGATTCCATGGGAAATACCTCCTGCAAGTGAAAAAACAGGGGCTCGTCAGCCCTGCCATGTGGAGGGCAGAGGTAGCTCACAGTGCTGCACAACCGCTTGCATAAGACATACCATATAATTAACGGCCTGTGCAGCAAGTGTGGTGCAAGGGGACAGTCATCCTGTTGGGAATGAAAGAGCATTTGGGGTGCTCCTACAGCAAGAGAGCAAACATCCCCATGATACTCCAGCAGAGCAATCAGCAGTGCCCTGCTCCACTGAGAGCAAAGACGACCATCCTCTGCATTATTTAATAATAGTGAGTTACACAGCAGCACAGTTTTTGCTGCAACATAGCTTCCTTCCCATCTGCAATTTGACTTCAGCTGTGTTGCAGCAACCCACAATGGCATCAGGCCTGAAAATACAGCTGCCACCTCAGTCCTTACATCACTGTGTCAGCATGACCTCATCCCATCTCTTAAAGAGTTTGTCATGCTTGAAACAAGATGAAAACCATTCATCCTTCATTTCACAGGGCTGTTTCAAATCCAAAAAGAAAATATTTTACCTGGGTCCAGAGCAGCAAGCAAGAATCAAGTAGGTCACAAAGAAAACAGCACTGCAAAAAAAAGAAAGAGCAGTTTAGGGAGGAAAACCCAAGCATTGTGTGTTGGAGAGAAGTCTCCAGCTGAGAAGTTTCGGGGCTCTGCTGCACTGTTTAAAATGCAAGCACCGTTCCTACCCAGCAGGCTGGGCAGAGAGCAAGGCAGTAACTACCTCTCACTGAAGCAGTTTTCTGCCCATGGCTGCCTACTTTGCTTATGCCAGTCCAAGGTTGTCCCTGAAAATCCTGAAGGATGGTTTTAGACCAGAGCAGGACTCCAGTCAGGGATAGATGAAGAACCCAAACATGTTTGTTGCTGACACCTCATCAGAGCATGAACTGCTCATACGGAGATGACCAGACTTTGCCCCTCATTTTCAGACCCTTTCTGGCTTGGTGGGATCAAAGCATCCAGCTGGGATTTCAAACAGGGCAGGTGACTTGCTTAAGGCCAGAGGGAAGGTCTGTGTCAGAGAAGGGAACTGGTCCCATGTTACTGCTCCAGCACTTGAAGAGTTCAATAGCAGAAGGATCCTCTAAGCTCAGTGAAGTTCGCAGCCCCAAGCCTCATACGCTGTTGCACAAGCCATTCCCGGGTTGCGGGAGAGTTATTTATCTCACATGACCCTTCAGCAAAGCAAAACATCCAGGGGCTGAGGGATAGTCTCCCTCTGCTCTGGACCTCACACAGCCCAGGTGTTTTTCCAGAGCGTGATGGGTTATGGCACAGTGGAAACCTGCTTACCTGCTTTCCCCCAGCGCCTGGGGGGAGAGCAGCTTCCAAGCATGCCGATGGCTGCACGATAGCCAGTCAGCTTAGGTCTAATAAATGAACATGACGGCAAAACCCACGGGCCATGATAAATGCACCAGAGATAAACCTGAGCATTGCTCTCCTGCAGGGAAACCAGGAAAGCTGGAGTGGGCACAGCTGAACAGATGTGAAGAAAGCACGTAGGGAGCAGAGAGCGCCATCGCAGTCGCCCATCTCCTTTGCATCCCTTATGGCACATCTGCTCTTGCCTTACTCTCTCTGAGCCATCACCCCAGCTGTAGGAAGACAACCTAGGGGACTCACTTCTATTTTACAAAGATAGATATAAAGTTGAGGGTCTCTGTGTACGAAAGAACCAGATCAGGACAAGCCATCGGAGACACTAGGATGGAGGGAAGGGTTGGCTCAGGAAGGTGAAGGGACAAACAAAATTTAAGTCCCTCAAGCACAGAGCCTACCCCAGCTGGCCCAAGACAGGTTTGCTCTGACTCAAAGATATAAATGCTACTTGTCCAGCAAGCCACAGGAGATAAACCCAATGGTCAAAGCAGAGAGCTGAGCAGAGCTTGGTCTTGTGTCCCTACAAGGCAACATCACTTCCCCAACCTACCAACTGGACATTATTTGCCTTTAAGGTCGAAGAGGCATGCTGATGCCAGTTCCCTTCTATTACTGCTAGTTTGGGTCTTTTTTTCTGAGTTACATAAGCTGGTGTCTCATCTCTGGGCCTGGACACATTTCATGATTTGGGTGTGAACTAATTAAAGCCAAGTTCACAGAGCCTTGTTCACAGACAATTGCCTCGCACACTCTGCCTGCTTAATTAGCAGCACTAACACAAGCGGCATCCAGGAAACCAGCACAACTGCAAATCCACTAACGCATGGAAGCGCAGCCTATGCAAACTCCGAGCTGACCTTTCGCACCAGGCTTGACTAATGAATGGCATCCCAAACTGAGGCACCAAGACGGGCTCTGTGATGAAGGTGGAAGCCTGACAGCCCCACAAACATCCTAATCCCCGCAAATGCATCCCTCCCCCTTAACACTGCCTGCATCCTTCTTCATCTATTGCATATCAAGGCATTCAGTGTAAAGCCAGGCAATCTCCTTGCTTTCAAGGGGCAAACCCAAGATTCAGCCCCTAAGGTATCTGGGCACCCTTTCAGGTCTCACATCTGGGTTTCTGCACTGTTTTCCTGGAAACTCCCCAGTTTTACCTGGTTTGCTTTGTAACCGATACTCACGTATTTACTTTGACCTCGGTTTGTAGAGCAGCAAGCCCTCTTATTGAAAGTGTTTGTAGATACCTAGCATACCTCATGTCTCAGCGTCATTTAGATGAGATTTTTCTATCTTCTCACCTCAGAGTTATCCATTAATTTCCCCAGCTCCCCCTGCACATATATTCTTCAATTCTTCTTGTGCATTTCTTCACACACAAGATACAGAAGTGTTTGGAAAGTGTTTCCACATCACCACAGCCACATCCAGAGCTGTTTGGAACACACATGGCCATAGGAGACGACAGAGATACTCACTAGGAGGCCCAGTACCAGGCAGCATGTGTCTGAATGTACCCCTTGACCGGCTCACTGCAAGATAGAGAAAAGGGATGCTGAGCAGAAAGCATAAAAAAGCCAATCACTTCACAGGCTGCTGCTAAATTAAACCCGGGAACACACAGAGTGATGCAGCATAGGGTATGTGGAAAAAAAAAACCACCCACACAACACACAGATGAATCTACCCAGCAGACTGACCAACTGGAAAGAAATTCAACCTGTCAAGTCGGAAAGACAGCCCTGCTGTTATCAATTACACAGTCAGGCTTGCTCGGGGAACCGCCACTGCCTTCCCCAAGAAGTGATTAAGTAGCTGAAATCTTCAAGCTGACAGTGATTCATTATTTATTCTGGAGGCAACATGAGCTGCCCATGCCCAAACTGCTCAGTCATCTGAACTAGAGACAGCTGCTGCGCGAGTGTGGGGTATTTGCTTCTGCAAGGGGAGGTAACCCAGTCCCTGAAGCCAAGGTAGGCTGGGATCTGATGGCCTTGATAACTCCCAAAGGAAAAATACAGCAGTTAATACTCAAGGGCAAGCAGCCCAGGCCTCTTGGCTGGGGATAGCACTCGGAAGGGACAATGCACCATCCAGAGGACATGCAGGAAAGGTAGCAGAAGTACTGAAGGACCTCACAGGGTTTCCTCAGTTTTGTTTTTTTATTGGAGCACATGGGGAGGAAAAAAAAAAAATCAGGTATCTACATAACAGACAACACCCCCTGTAACAGGCAGTTCAGGAGCAGGTCATACACAGGACAGAGCAAGCATTAGTGCTATACAAGAGGCCTACCAGAAGGTGAAGAAAGCCACAATAACAACAGTGACCAAGAGCTGGACCATCAGGATGGCATAAACCTGCAACAAGAGGCACCCATGGGTAACCTGCAGACTCCCTGCTTCCCACCCTGCCCTGGGAAGACAGCAAAGCCATTGCAGCCAGGTCTCTCCGAGGGCTCAGAGCTGGTCTCCTGCCTTCACAGTGGAAGGCTGAGCCTGAAGAGACTTGCCCCTTACCTTCCTGATGAACACTCTGCGCACATTCCTGTCATCCCAGCTGAAGGTTGTGAGCATCTCCGTGTCCCCTGGGTACCCACCACTGCCGTAGCTGGGGCTCATGCCTGAAGCAGAAACCAGACACATCAACTCCTGCCACCTGGGTCTCTCCCCAGCTGCAATAATCTGACCCCACAGCTCATGAGGCCCAAATTTCAAGGTTTTCTCCTTGCACTGCAAAACAGTCATGCTAGGAGGCACTCTGCTCCCTTCCCACTCCTGCATCTTATCCAGGAAGAGAGGGGGAAACCACTTCTGCAAACTCCAGCACAAGGACACAGGGTTAGTTCCTCTGTATGGTAACACGGTACCTTTAATGGCAATTAGAGGGCTCATATCATATCCTTGCTCACCTTTCACTGAATATTAAAGCATCCCCCAGAGAAGCCGTGACCCAGCACCTCTGTCATTCCCATCAGGAGGTCTGGGGCAGGAGGATTCACTCGCTGTTCTCTAGTTGCCTGAGTTTAGACTGTGTCTGCATCACATTTTATGGCAAGAGTGTGCCCCCTCCTCTGAGAAAAGCTCATTACAGCCAGCTTTTCCATAAGGTCCATCCCTGAATCCGATTTCCATGCAGGGAGTCAGAGAACTGCTTAGCAGCAAGCCTGAATAAGGGGAAACAACCCCAATGCTGCTGCTGCTAGGACCTTCCCAAAAAATCATCACACCATGTGGCCCAGCGCTGCTTTGCTTGGGGCTCTGAAACACAAGCTCTTGTTGCTGGAGTTTCCCTGCAGATGGGCAAGGAGGAAGGCTGAATACAGCACCAGTTTGCCCAGCAACCTGAAGGGTGATGAAGGGAAACATCAGCAAACCTCTGCCTACCACGGAGACGACTGTACTGACGGTCAGGGATGAAGGGTAGCAGCAAGGTTATTGCAGGGCTGGGGGCTGCAGGAGGAACCCAACATAGCAGCTTCTCCCTGCTAAGATCAGCTGCACAAAATGGAGAAGGCTGACTCTTGCATCTACCTCCTGAACCTTGGGCTCAAGAGAAAAATAAAACAAATACAGAAACCTCAGTTATCTTAGCACATCACTCCCCTGTGCTCTTTGCTTCTCTTGCTAATATCCCTTTCTGTGTTACTAACAGTCTCCCTGTCTGGGTTTCCTATAGATCAAAGCCTCATGCAATTACACCAGCTATACATTCATGTTCCTGCCTGTTTGACAGGTGTCTCCCCCTCCTTCTCATAGCTTTTTAGCTCAGTGATACTCAGATCCTTCAGGCCGATGGAGGAAAGACCCTCTCAAACTCAGAGGACAGGCAGCAGACACCAGGAGAACCAAACTCAAGGCCCCGGTTCTGGATTTCTTTTGGTTTACTGGTCAAAGCTTGCTTGCTCTCACTGCAGAAGCCTCATCCTAAAGATGTCCCTGGCAGGCAATAAACCCCTTGTGTTCTTGTGCCTAATAGATCTCCTTGTGCCTTCTCCTACGGCCCAGCAGAGACAAAACTCCTGCAGCGTGTCCTCCCTGCACGTGTGAGCTCTGTCACTGCCCACACGGACCAGAGCACCTGGTACCCATATCCCCGGGACACTTCACTGCCTCCTGCATCAAAGCAATCAAGGCATCTAAACACCACATTAGGCACCTAAATGCCTGCGAGGAATGGAGGGGGTTTCCTCCTCCCTGGCACCCATCACCTCCCACCCATGGCCACGTCTGAGGCAGCAAGAGAGCGTGTCCCAAGCTCATTAAAAAAGCAACTAAGACAGACATGCCACTTCTCTCCAGCTACTTCTCATGCAGCGTGGCTGCGGGCAGGGAGAGGGGAGGGGGACATGAAATCAGAGGAAAACACCAGCAAGGTTGAGGACACAGCTGCAGAGAGGAAATCCTGCCAGGCATGTCGGGGAGGGTACAAGAGATGACACATCACCTTAACAAGTCCTCCGGGATACCCAAAATACCAGCATCCTAACCCATTTGGGCTTTACCCATCCTAATTCATCATGACAGTAGAAAGACCCAGATGGCTGTTATGGCCAGCTGGGAGGTTATTTATCCCCTCTGTTTCTGACCCCTGAGGGCAAACAAGAATGGGTAAAGTCTGTGAAACCACCAGAGTGTGCAGGTTCACACATCTCAGAGGGGTTTAGCCTGTGCTTTCCCCTTCCTGAACACCTCAATCCCTGCAGCTGCGGCCATCTCCCTGGATGGAACAGGCAGTCAGCAAAGCCCAGCAGAGGAAGAGGATGGAGCAGAGAGGGGATTCAGGAGTCCTTAAATCCAGCCCCTCCAGCACTCTCTCAGTTCTAGCTGTGCTGACTGAGCACTTGGCCACCCCAGCAGACTGGCTTGCTGGCCGCTGCATCCTGCATCCATCCCAGCTTCCCGCTACACAACTGCTCCCCTGCACTGGGCACAGCTGAGCCTTTGTCCGCTTGTCACAACCAAGCAGAAGCTGCACGGAGCACCCAGGGAAGAAAAGCTGTTTGTTTCCAAAGAGTCGGCCACACAGGCTGATGACAATTCAGCCTTCGAGCCTCCGCCGGCTCTGAACACCGCCGCAGAGGAGCCAGACACCCTGATGCCACCACACTGATTTTGCCTGTTCAGCAGCTTCACTGAAAGCCAGGGTTGAACAGGAGCTAAAGCGGGGGCTGCTGCCTGCAGAGCTGTGAGCATTGCACCAGACTCTCCCCAGCCCTGGGAAGTGGCATTGCCCAGTGCAACAAGCTGGGAGAGGGGATTTTTCCCATCCTGGTACTGGGAAGGAGAGCAGGGACAGAGCACTGGGGTTTAGTCCCACCTCTGGAAGGCAGTTTGGTCTAGTGGTTGGGTGAAATGGCTTTTACATATAGATATAGACCCATATGGCTTACAGCTACAGCTCTAGGGTGAGCTCTACCATGGACCAAACTGGGCATCACATCCCTTGTCCCCTTCTTCTCTACAAGTTTGTAGGGGGAATCTCTGCATCCCTCTCTCCCCACTGCAAGTGGCTCACTCAGGGCACATCCTCAGAAGTACTTACTGGGGTCAACGTAAGCCCAGCTGGGGTGGAGCGGGACCGATGGGGGAGGAGGGTAAGCACCAGACTTCATCCCTTCTCCTGCTGTCGCCTCCTCATAGGTTGGAGGAGCTGGTGGAGCCGTAGCATTGTCTTTCTTCTCCCCTTGCCCCTCAGAGTTTGGGGGTTTGTTGTTCACAGAGAGCTGCACAGAAAGGGGGGGTGGGGG